TTGCTTATGTGGTGCTGAGGAATCGAACCCAGGGCCTCATGCATGCAAGGCAAGCGCTCTACCACTGAGCCACCTTCCCAGCCCTGATTTTTTTTTTAAAGTTCAACAACAAACTAAAAGTTTTTAAATGTTTCCAAATAGTAGTGGTGTGGAAGCAAGAAAGCACTGAAATGACACAGCCTGTTACCCAGCATGTGTCGTTCACTAAATAGTGTTAGCTACATTTCTTCTTCTTCTTTTTTTTTTTTTTTGTCGGTCGTCGGGCCTGAACTCTGGGCCTAGGCACTGTCCCTCAGTTCTTCAGCTCAATGCTAGCGCTCTACAACTTGAGCCACAGGGCCACTTCCAGCTTTTTTTGCTTATGTGGTGCTGGGGAATCGAACCCAGGGCCTCGTGCATGCCAGGCAAGCCCTCTACCACTTACCTACCTCCCCAGCCCCGAGTTAGCTACATTTCTTTTCCTTATCCCTCCACAAAGCATTATTGTTGTTGTTGTTATTATTATTCCCACATCAGTGGTACTTCTCCCTGGATCATTTCTTTTTGAGGTCCAGTGAAGTTCCTGACCCTGGTTTCTGTTTAAAAACATGCAATTCAGTTGTAGTAACAGAGTTGTTCAAAATCAGGTGTGAAGTTTCACGGCTTATATTTCTGTCTTGTTGAAGGAAATACAATATGCTGAAGAATTTCTTATCAAACCAGAGTCTAAGGTGGCTCAGTTGGACACTTCTCAGTGGCCTTTGTTGTTAAAGGTATGTGCTTGTGTGCCTAGACACAAATGCCTGGATTTTACTTCTCATTGTTAAAAAAGTTAAGAATGCTTACTGATAGCACTTTTCACTTTAGTAAATGCATTATGATACAGCATAAGCCACTATTATCCTCAAGACAGCTGAGATGAAATACCAGGTTACATAGAAATTTCTAACATGCTCAGCAAAGTGTAGGTGTCAGCTATGTAGCTTAGAGAAAAAAGGCTATTTAGACGCCCCTTGGCATGCTAAATGAATCATGTATGTGGTGGTAAAAGACTGAGGTTTGCTTATATTGTTCAACATCAGTCAAACTGAATAAATCAAAAGTGGGCTTCACTTGGTGAGTTCTTCCCCACTGGTGGTCAAGCTTTGGAGAGGAGACTGAAAAGAAGCAGACGTGAAAAGCACACATGGGGGCATCTGGAGCAGAACAGCTCATTATGTTAAAAAAAAAAAGTTGCCATTTATCCTTAATTTGGCTTTTTTCCCTAAGAAAATGAATGGTAGTCCATATTTTATTCATGCTCTTGCACAGTGAAGTCTAATCCGCTTAGTACTGACCCCAACAAGCCTTTTTCTACAAAATGCCATAAACTGATAAGTGTTCAAATTAGTCTTGTACGTAATGGTATTTGGAAATTTCTCAGTATAAGTCTGTCATAGCAAATAATAGTATTAACATAGGAGTAGAACTCTATGGAGCTTGCATTTCTTGGTTGATGTGGTGCTGACTGGTTTATATATTTCAGTGATGCATTAGTAAGTTAACTTCAGGTTGTATTGTTGCTTTCCAGAATTTTGATAAGCTGAATGTAAGGACAACACACTATACACCTCTTCCTTGTGGTTCAAATCCTCTGAAGAGAGACATTGGGGACTATATCAGGTAAGTCTTTCTCAAGTGAAAGCTTCATATCCGTTATTCAAGGAGATCCTGAAGTATATGCCCTATGCCTTTGATGAGTTTTTCTTTCTAACTCTTAAAGAGCACAAGACCAGGTGGTACATTAACCCTTTTTCCACTCTAGGACAGGTTTCATTAATCTTGACAAGCCCTCTAACCCCTCTTCCCATGAGGTGGTGGCCTGGATCCGACGAATACTTCGGGTGGAGAAGACAGGACATAGTGGCACCCTGGATCCCAAGGTGACTGGGTGTTTAATTGTGTGCATAGAACGAGCCACTCGCTTGGTGAAATCACAACAGAGTGCAGGTACGTGGAAAGGGGTATGAAGAAGTATTTAGGGATTGTAAGGCATTCTGCATTTGTCTCCCTTCTGTATTTTGGCTCTTGGGCTCTATTAGGAAAAGTCTTGTTGCAGGGTTATTCTTTTGGTTTCTATGTACCTTATGTCCTCTGGCAATTCCTGGTGAGTCTGCCCTTGTTTGGAGTTCTAATACTAGACGTGCACATTCCTACTATAGGAACAGAATTCTGTCTGTCTCTGAGCTTGTTGCTCCTGACTTCTCACTGAGTCTGTTTCTTCCTCAAGTGTCCTTTCTTTACTTTCATGTGAAAAAATTCTCCTACTTGCAAGAGTTTTCCAGTCAGGCTCTAGACTAAGTATTCCACCTGTCCCTGTCTTTATCAGCACACTGAACATTGAATTCCACTTTGGGGGGAGTGGGGAGGATCTCGCTATACAACCCCCTGGCCTAGAATTTGGGATGCTCTTGTCTCAGCCTCCCAAGTGTTGGCATTCTGGGCATGTGTCAACACACCACTTTTGGCTGGAGAAAGTATCTTCATTTCTTCTCATCAACATTGTATAATCTTGCTTCATATTAATTTTAAGAAAAACATGAAAAATGCCTGCTTTCTCACTGTGAAATGGCAGTGGTTGAGCATATAAAAATGGCAGATATAGAAAACTCAGTGGCCACACCTGACTACTCTTGTCATTTTTCAGGCAAAGAGTATGTGGGAATTGTCCGGCTGCACAATGCTATTGAAGGGGGGACCCAGCTTTCTAGGGTAAGTCTGCAACTAGAGAGAGGGCACGTTTAGTGACTTGGGAGTATAAGCCCTTAAACTTCCAACTTGCTTTGTCTTGTTGTCCTTTAGACTTAGTCCTAAAATATGCTCTTTCATTTGAGAGGTCACCTAATGAGAGTGTTTTTGTTTGTGCTTCTTCTTAGGCCTTGGAAACACTGACAGGAGCCCTATTTCAGCGACCCCCGCTCATTGCTGCCGTAAAGAGGCAGCTCCGAGTGAGGACTATCTATGAGAGCAAAATGATTGAATATGATCCTGAAAGAAGGCTAGGTGAGTCATTAGGGGACTTGCCATAGACCCACAGTGGGTAGGAATGCATGCTTGAAGATTCCGTCCGCAGGTACTCCTAGCACATTGTGTAGTTACTGCCTGTGTCTGTTATCTCTAGTTGACTTAAGATGGAGAATAATGATTTCCTCAACTAGTGATTATTTATGGCTGGACATAGGTGCTACTTTCCTTTTGTGTGTGTTTCTTAGGAATCTTTTGGGTGAGTTGTGAGGCCGGCACCTATATTCGGACTCTGTGTGTGCACCTTGGTTTGTTGCTGGGAGTTGGTGGTCAAATGCAGGAACTTCGGAGGGTTCGTTCTGGAGTCATGAGTGAAAAGGTATTCCATTATTGGGCTAGAGGTTTTAGTTTCAGAACTGATCCTTCTTAAATGTCTCTGAGCATTCCTAGAATGCTGCACCATTCTAGGAAAGGTAACTTCCAAAGTGTTGAGTTCAGTTCAGGGCAGCTTCCCCTGTTCTGTTAATTAAATTTTGGAATATTGAAATTGGCTAGGGGAGAAGACTGGGTAGAAAGTATTCTATTCATTTACTTCCCAGCCTACAACATGTCTGCCCAGTCATAGAGCAGTGCCCTGGGTTCTATCCCCAGTGGCACCAAAGAAAAATGTGCCTACTTAGATCTAATATAGGAACAGTTAGAGAGCCCAGAAGACAGCCAACTCTAAACAAACTAAGATTAGTAATGAGTTTGGAATAGCAAGCAAGTTTCAGCTAGAATCAGATTTTGGAGGTTTGGTGTCCAGTGAGTGTTTGAGATAAGAAAATACTGAGTCTGAGTTTCTTTCACACCCGGCTGCTTTTCAGGACCACATGGTAACAATGCATGATGTACTTGATGCTCAATGGCTGTATGATAACCATAAAGATGAGAGTTACCTCCGGCGTGTCATTTATCCTTTGGAAAAGCTGTTGACATCTCATAAACGACTGGTTATGAAAGATAGTGCGGTAAGCTCTAGAATAAGAGTCCATATTTGCATGGTCTATTATGAAAACATGAAAATGTCAATCTTTTAAAAAGATTAAACTTTGGCATTACAAGTTCATATTTATTGTTAGTTTGACTTTCTTAGTAAGGCGGTTAAAGGGTGAGTTAATTTGTATTATCAGAGAATGTTGCCTTTCATAAATTAAAATTGTCTTTGTGATCTGGTGTATAGAGTACTGTATAGCCATAGTTGTTGAAGAATAGAAATGATAGTTGATGATTTAAGATCAATAAATTATTCATATTCAAGTCTTAAATTGTAGACATTTGGTTTTTTTATATTATATGGCCGACAGTAAAAAAAAAAAAAGTACGCTAAAACATGGCATTTAATAGGAATTGAAAGCATTTAATGAGATAAAGAGTGAAGTGGGATAGCTTTGCTATGCCTCCCTGTGCTGGAGTTGGCTTCTGGGTGAGTTTAAAGAGAGGGTGGAATGTCATCACATATGAGATCTAAGTAATTGAAGGAAAGATGGGTGCATTGAGTGCTATCAAACTCCTGGAGAGGTGGCCTTAATGGTCGCCTATAAATGCTATACCAGAACTTGTATGTAATTGAACAGGCCTAGTAATTTTCTCTGCTAGTTATTTTGGGAGCCTGTTAAAGCCTGGATCTCCTGTAACGGAGAAGCAATTCTGGAAAGCTAAGGCTAGTTTGTTTTAGGTCCAATGGAAAAAGTGGACATTGAAAACATCAAAAGTTTGCTTAGCAATTTGGGTGTGTGTATAAAGTTCTTAGGGCAGTGCCTAGATTGCAACTGTTGCGTGTCTCTTCGTGCCTTGTTCTATTTCCGTGCTGTTCTATTTCTTGCTGTCAAGCTACCTTCCCCATGTTCTCCCCTGTTCTGGTATGGAAGTGAGGTGGGGGGGCAGTAGCTGAGGCTCTCAATATGACACCATCCATACAGGTGAATGCAATCTGCTATGGGGCCAAGATCATGCTTCCAGGTGTTCTCCGATATGAGGACGGCATTGAGGTCAACCAGGAGATTGTGGTCATTACCACCAAAGGGGAAGCAATCTGCATGGGTAAGGGGATTGTTACCTTCATTAGTTCTGGATTTGGGGCTCATTCTACATAAACAGTAGCTCACGGATTCAGTCCCTATGTCCTTGTGTTTCCTGTAGTCTCTATGGTGGGTACAGTGAAGGGACTGTCAAATTTATGTACAAGTGAGGAGGTAGAATTGCACCCTTGACGCTCTCCAGGGCTTTACTGGTAAAGAGTGGTAATGGTTCCCTATATAGTAGTCAAAATGAGGGCCCTATATATTTCATTCTTGTGTGCTTGCAGATAACTTGTAACTAGTATATATGATTTTTAATTTGTGACAGATTAGTTGGATTGTATTTTCCGCATTAAAATGCTTGGTGACCTTTTCCCCTCTTCCCTTGCTGGTGAGATTTGAATGCTGGGCCTCGCCCACTTATCTGGCTTTTTCACTTAGAACTGGCACTCTATTGCTTGAACTAGACCTCCACTTTCATCATTTTGGTGGTTTATGGGAGATAGTCTGCTTGGGGTGGCTGTGAACATTGATTCTCCGATCTCAAGTCTCCTGAGTAGCTAAGTGTGGGCCACTAGTACCCGGATGTGACTCTTAGTGAAGAAATCAGAGGTTTTTGGTTACAGTCCTAATTTTTACCAGAAGTAGAGCATGTCTGCAGATCCCTTATGTCAGTTCTGTAAGCAGGTGGGTCTGCCCTGGAAGGTTTCATCCCCATGGACAGTGGGAAAGGGATACCTAAGGATTCTGTGAACCACACCCCTGCCATGTCTGTATTCTCTTACTTTGGTGTTGGGTGTTTTTTGTTTTTGTTTTTGGTCAGTCATAGACTTGAGTCTATGGGCTTGAACCCTGGGCCTGGGCGCTGTCCCTCAGCTCTTCAGCTCAAGGCTAGCACTCTACCACTTGAGCCACAGGGCCACTTCCAGTTTTCTGGTGCTTTATTGGAGATAAAAGAGTTTCACAGCTTTTCCTGTCCAGGCTAGCTTTGAACCATGATCCTCAGATCTCAGCCTCCTGAGTAGCTAGGATTACAGGCGTGAGCCAGAGAGCCACTCGCGCCTGGCTGGTTGGTTGTTTTTTAACTTGCTAAGTGTAACATCATTTGAAAAACTCCCTTCCTATAATGGAAGGTTGTCTCCATAAGCACATTCTGAGCCTAGAATACTCAGTTAAGGTAGTAGACATACCCTATACCATCTCCTCAAGAAGTGTAGGCAGGAGGACCACAAGTTTAAGGTCAGCCTAGGCAAAATTAGCACAACTCTATCTCAAAAACATAGGGTGCTGGCCCTAGTTCAATCCTCAGCAATACATATACACACAATGTAGTAGAGCTCAGAGCTTTAAATGGTTTTTTAAAGTTTGGGCATAGAACAATTGGGGCTCAACAATAACCACATCTTTCTACTTTAAATTATTAGCTATTGCATTAATGACCACAGCCGTGATTTCTACCTGTGACCATGGTATAGTAGCCAAGATTAAGAGAGTTATCATGGAGAGAGACACTTACCCTCGCAAGTGGGGTTTAGGTCCAAAGGTAAGTAGAATTCCTGGGCTGTTTTGTGTTGTTGAATGCACACTTAGGCATTTGTTTGTGTGTCCCTACTGCCATAATCTCTTATTGTTCTAGACTCTGGATTGTTGATGGTGGTCAGAGATAGGCTCTGTCTTGGACCTTAAGAGATTTTCAGTCTAATGGAGAATAACTTGGCATTACTTAAATAGTTGTACAGTAAGGTAGTGAATTTCAGCCATGGTAAATGGCTGTCAGGGATGCAGAGACATCTCCAGAATCTGGGGAGTCTTCAGTGAGTTTAACTTTGTCAGGGGGTTGGGTGGTGTTTTTCAGGGAAGAGTATGAGCCCCTGCTGAGATATAAAAGGGAGAAACCTCGTGCCATTCTGTGCAAACTGGGTCTATGGCATAACGTTTGTTACAATGCCTGCTTTCTGTATTGACACCTTTCTAACATTGAAACCCCATATTTCCCCAGGCAAGTCAAAAGAAGCTAATGATCAAGCAGGGCCTTCTGGATAAGCATGGCAAACCTACAGACAGCACCCCTGCCTCCTGGAAGCAAGAGTATGTTGACTACAGGTGAGTAAAAGTTTTGTTGAGGACTATAGAGAAGAGATACTTGCCATTTGGGCATTGTTGATGGATCAGGACAGGAGTTCACAGAGCCTGCGGGATACAGGTAGGACTTACTTTGGGCAACCATTTAGAATGCTGGACCAGTAAGACCCAGTACTGTAGGTGGCTTTTTCTTTGCTGGGCTTTGTGAGGCTTGGATCAGGTATGGTTGGGCCTGCACAGCAGGTAAGCATTCCTTTCTAGTCTTGCTCGTGGGTTCTTCTTGTCAGTTGTCAGTGGGTGTTTGTGTGTATGTGCCGGTCCTGGGGCTTGAACTTGGGGCCTGGGTGCTGTCCCTGAGCCTCTTGTTCAAGCTAGCACTCTTACCACTTGAGCTACCACTTCCAACTTTTTGGTAGTTTGTTGGAGGTAAGTTTCACAGGCAGGCGCCAGTGGCTCTTGCCTGTAGTCCTACCTGCTCTGGAGGCTGAGATCTGAGGATCTTGATTCAAAGCCAGCCAGGGCAGGAAAGTCTGTGAGGCGCTGTGACTCCAGGGGCAGAACACTCCCCCTTGAGCTGAAGAACTCAGGGACAGCACCAGGCCCAGAAAAAAAAAAAAAAACCGACCACAAAAAAAAAGTTTCATGGACTTTCCTGCCTAAGTTGAGTTCAAAGTGTGATCCTCAGATCTCAGCTTCCTGAGTAGCTAGGATTACAAATACAAGCCAGCCCATGTTTTGGAGGTGGCTTTAGCTTTATCCAATATCATTCATTAGCTTGGGGGGGGGCAAGGGGGTGCAACAGCATTACAATGGAAAGCTTTTTTTGACCTTTTAATGTGTTCTTTCAGTGATTCTGTCAAAAAAGAAGTGGTTACTCAAGCAGAAAAAGGCCCACAGTTAGTTGCTGAAGTGGTAAAAGTTCCGCAAGTAGTTGCTGAAGCAGTAAAAGTCACAAAGGTGAGTGGTATGCTATGATGTTTGGAATGTGCTCCAAGAGGTGATTATAAGCACCACCAGTGTTTGACTTATCTACAGCGCACCAAAAATGTCCTGGCTCAGCAAGGTTACTTGCCCTCCTCCTTGCTGTGGCATACACACAGATTGTGCCTCATACCTTGGGGTACATGTTTGGCCTTAGTGGGCGTAGGAATCAGATTTACTGACCTTGCCTCCCACCTCAGTTATGTCAATAACACTGGATAGAACGGGTGTCACACATAATTCTAGCTCTACCTTAGGTCAAGTGGTAGTATAGGTATGTTGAAATCAGGTCCATATTAAAACCAACTGGCCAGCACCAGTCCTCTTCATTTTAAGTTGCAGCTTAGCTTCCAGGGGTTGAGGACCGCTAACTTTAGAGCCCAGAATGACATCTGTACTCAGAATCCTTGGGTGGTGCTGGAAGACCTATAACAAGCTGTGTACACAGAACTTGTCTGATGTGAATTCTGGCTTTGCTTTCTTTAAGGACTTAAGATAGTACTTTGTAAGTCATGTAATCCATTCTTTTCTCGGGGCTTTTTACCCTCCAAGCCCCATGCTGTTGCTGTGGTGCTCCTGTCATGCCTCATGGCTTCCTTGACTTGTAAGATGAGACTGTCTTTCCTGGGGGCTGGTGGCTCACTCCTGTAATCCTGAGATCTGAGGATTGCAGTTTGAAGCCAGTTTGTCAGGAAATTCTGTGAGACTTATCTCCAGTTAAGCACCAAAAAAGCTGGAACTGGCACTGTGGCTTGAGTGGTAGAACACTAGCCTTGAGCACAAAAGTTCAGGGACAGTGTCCAGGCCCTGGGTTTAAGCCCCAGGATTGGCTCCCTACAAAAAAAAAAAAGGATTGTCTGCAAGCTCTGAGTAAATTACAGTGCTTTCCGAGTTTGTAAACAAAAAACTTTTTTTGGTTCATGTCTCATTTTTTAAACTGTGTGTAGAACCTAGGACCTTGGGCACGCTACATTTTGACTGACTTATCCATTATTGCCCATAATTTACCTTTTGACCAATTGTTTTCATCTCAGCGAAAGCGAGAGAGTGAGAGTGAAAGTGATGAGACCCCTCCAGCAGCTCTTCCCTTGATCAAGAAGGAAAAGAAAAAGAAGAATAAGGACAAGAAGGCCAAAGCTATGCTAGAGAGTGGGGGCGAGCCTGGAGATGGGGTTTGTATAAACACTGGCTCCTTGGGTTGACCTGGCCCTTGGTTGTGGCAAGAATTAGCCACATGGTATTGGCTTTGTAACTCTCGGAGGAGTCATGGCCTACTGTTCATAGTATAGTGCCTAGGGCTTCCCTAGGTGGACACATAGAAAGTCTGTTGGTGGTGGGGGCAATATATATAGTTTGATTGAACTTCTTTTTGAAAGTAGACTTATAGGACTTCACTAGAAAGCTCACAGAACTTATTGTCACATGAACACATACAAAACCTACTCAATTCCAAATTTTATAGATCCTGATAAGGCTTGTCTGTAGTTCACCACATGTCCTTTTGGGAGTCCTAATTGGTTTGTTAATAAATGCTCTGAGCTTGAGCTTTTTTCTTTTTCTTTCTAGGACAGTGATACCACCAAGAAGAAGAAAAAGAAGAAGAAAGCAAAGGTGGTAGAAGTGGCATCTGACTAGTAAAGGCTGCTGTAAGCATTGTGTCCAGCTGGGAAGAAAAAGCCTTGTTGTAAAAACAGTTTTAGTTAAGGGAATGGAACAAAGGTCCAGAACAGGGTAGAGTTGTACACTCTGCTGCTACTTGACACCTCAGTGATGTTACCTGGTGTGGTCATGCCATCGTGTCCTGTTTTAAGGATATGGGTGATGAAAGAGGCAGACCTTATGCCATCAACTTCTCTGCTTCAGTTGGGAAGCCTCACCTTCAGACCTAGTACTGTCCAGTGGAACTGCAGCTACTAAAGGCCATTTTAAACAACCTCACAGTCCTTTCCTAATTTGGTTTTTTAAGCCCCCCTCATTTAAAAAGTCCATATATGTTAAGACTGCTCATGAAATAATATAAAACCCTCTAAGTGAAAGGTGTAACTGAGTCACATGTTCACTGGGCACAGCTTGCCTGCAGTGTCCTGTGAGGACAGCGATACAGTGTGGTGTAGGTGTGGACCGCTAGGCTTGGGTGGTATCTATCTTCTCTTTGGCCCAGTTCTCAGTCTTTTGTACACTTCTCCAAAACTTCCATACAGCAGATTTATCCCATCCATCTGGCTACTTGTGTTTGTGATGGAAGCTGCACTGTCCTGTCTCCTCGTGTTTAACCTTTATTTACTGTTGAACAGATTTGCTCATTGCTGGGAGAAGAATTATGGTTTTTACTTATTAAAATTAACTCATGACATTTTTAAAGTATTCCTGTTGGGTTTTTTTTGTTAGTGATCTCAGACTGGCAGAACAACAAAAAAAAAAATAAAATATTTTGGTTAAAACCCTAGACCTAGCTGGGTGCCAGTAGTTCATTCCTGTAATCTCAACTACTCAGGAGGCTTAGATGTGAGGGTCATGGTACAAAGCCAGCCCAGACAATAAGTCCATGAAACTCTCATCTCCAGTAAGCTATGAAAAGGCTGAAAGTGGTACTATGGCTCAAATTGTAGAGTGCTAACCTTGAAAAGCTCAGGAACAGCGCCCGGGCCACAAGTTCAAGCCCTAGGACTGGCAGCAAAGAACAAAATCGGGGAACTTACATAGCCTTGATTTGCAATTTGCTTTTCCTTTTATGATTGGCTAGTTTTAAATATCTCTGATTCTATCTCTTATCTTACAACATTCACCTTGGGACCTTTCACCTGGAATCAAAGGACTGAGAGGAGAAAGCCAGACAGATGTACTAGTGAGGAGACAGTACTATGAAGGAACACATGCTGGTAGAGGCCTGTTGAACCTGTCAATTCTGGAAGCTGGGGGTTGGGATGTTCAGGAATCTGAAGGCCTTAGTAATAATCGTTAGTGGGAAGCTCTGGAAGTGCTTCCAGTTGGTTATCAGAAGTCAAGAAAATGCAAACAACTTTTGAGTACTGAGCCATGGGATAAGCCGGGTAAGCACAGTGCACTGTGGTGCTGGCTCACCCAGCCCCCGCTTTCCCAGGCTAGGTTTTCTTAACCTTTTAAATGGGGTTTTTAATAGGAAGCTTAAGTGTATGCCATAATGGGTTTCCACCCAGAGGAAACCTTAGGCTTAATGCAGGCACCAGAAGTGGGAGGTACTCTGAAGATACGTGGCACAGATAACCCAGAGTTAAAAGACAATTGGTGTTTTAACACGTATTTTTATTGCTTTTGAGGGTTTCCCTAGAACAGTCTATTGCACAGCTTTCATTTTGGCATTTTAGGAAGTTGCAAAAGATATTTGATTCAAAGGAAAAGAAGACGAAAAGATGCTGAGTTGAAGGTGAAGAGTTCAGGCTTCAGAAGGACAGGTGCCATTGCTTTATTTGTGTATCATTGATTAGCAGTTTCATTTCTACACTAACATTTCCAGAGATACTTTTGAATTCCAGATCAGTAGGGCCCTGCCCTTCAGGAGCTTGAGTAAGGACAGTTAGAGAGACAGAATCTGACACAACTAGTTGAAGCAGCCCTGTTTGATTTAAAGCAAGGGGAATGGCATTCCAAATGTTGGTGAAAGGGTTATAGTTTCCCATTCTGCAAGTTTAGTAGACCCAGGAGACAGGCACCCACTGTGGAGAGCTACACGCCAGCTCAAAGGCTTCTTGGAGCTTCTTAAGAGTTTCATCAACACCATTATTCACCAGTGAGAGGTCAAAGTAGTGAGCATACTGACTGCGGATGGCCTCAGAGTCCTTTTGCAGCTGCTGCAAGGCTTCAGTCTGCAAAGAAAGCCATGGATGAAGCAGTCATCAGTACCTCTCCCACAGGCCAAACCAACAGTGAGTTTTACACAGGCATTTATTAGCATTGCCTGTTTCTGTCACCTAATTATTGCTCTTTTGTGCTGGGACCAAACTCAGGGCCTAGTATTTGCTTGGCAATTGCTCTGCTAAATTCAGCAGCCATAAAAAGGGCATAAGTAAAAACGCGCACATAGTGAAGATACACCAAATGGTTAAAAACATTTTCAGGTAATACCATGTGGCACTGTGGCTCAAGTGGTAAAGTGCTAGCCTTGAACATGAAGCTCAGGGACAGGGCCCTGAGTTCAAGCCTAAGGACTGGCAAAAAAAAAAATGTTCTTCATCTTGACCTTGGTGGAAATGCAGGTGGCCAATGGCCCAGACTTAAGTAGACCTCTTCTGCTCTACATAGCTCCTTACCTGAGTGCCCTGGTCAGTAGGCGCGATGAAAACAATGAAAGGTGAAAGTTCTGCTGTCCGAACAATCTTCAGAGTCTAGAAAAAGGAAAGGGAGGAAGAAAATGAAAAAAAAAAGAATTCTTTTTAATACTTGGCCTAGGCTTTCCCATCCCCATACTATTTTCCACTATTCTCAATACTACGGAACTCCAGATGTCTTGGAGCTTTTCTTTTGATCACTCCTCCATCTGCTAGATGGCTGATCCCATCACTCCTGCTTTTCCATGCCTACTTACCTGGGGCTCAATGTCAAGGATGGCAATTTTGTCTTGCTTATGAATCTGGTGCACGGTTTCAAATTTGGTGCCAAACATATTGCCCTGGTAGCTGCCAAACTCCAAGAACTCATTGGCGGAGATGCTCTTCGTCATCTCCTCTGTTGAAATGAAGTGATACTCCTTCCCGTCTTCTTCACTTTTTCTGGGTGGCCTCGTTGTATCTGTACAAGTACCCAAATCTATGATGAGCTCTGGCTTCATATCAGTCTGTATGGAAATTACCTGATTTGGGGGCAAGAGTGTGATCTAGGAGTTCCTCTTATGGGCTCCTGTAGGGCAGAACAGGAAATCTCCCATTTGCTGAGAATATATTTAACTTTTACAACTTAATTATAACTTAGTCACCCTTGTATTGGTGTCTTTTAACATTTAAGAGGCAAAGCCCAATGTAAAAACATTTCTACCATGTTCCCTGTAGGAAGTTAAATCTCTGAACCACCAAACTTGTCAGTATTGAAACTCAGAAGTGAAGACACCTAAATTTTTTTTTAATTAGATCTCTGGGACATAGGTACTGTGGCTCAAGTGGTAGAGCGCTAGCCTTGAGCTGAAGAGCTCAGGGACAGCACCCAGGCCCAGAGTTAAGTCCCACGACCCACCAAAAATAAAAAGATCTCTGGGCTGGGGTATAACAGCAAAACACGAGAATGCGGTGTCTATACTAGTTATTTCTACTTCCAGACTTCCTCCATTCCTCAGCACACTGCTATCTGCTTTCTGCCCCACTAGGATGACTTTTACTATGACCCTATGAGCAACTCTCAGTGACCCCTATGTAAAAAGACAAGAATTAAAAGATTTTTAAAAAAACTCATCAGGTTCACAATTGACAATTCCACAAACTGAGAATGCACAACTGAACTGTGAAGGTTCAATTTGTTTCTGGTGGGTCATGGGGCTTGAACTCAGGGTGCTGTCCCGGAACTCTTGTTTGCTGCTAATGTTCAACATCTGAGCCACAGCGCCACTTCTGGTTTTCTGGTGGTTAATTGGAGAGAAGAGTCTCATGGGGACTTTTCTGCCTGGGCTGGCTTTGAACTGCGATCCTCAGATCTCAGCCTCCTGAATAGCTAGGATTACAGGTGTGAGATACCAGCACCCTGCTGAATATTCACTTTTGGGTGTAGAGTAGTCTAACTGCATGCTTGGCCATTGTCCCACATCTAGGAATGCCACCATGATCTGGCCTTTCCTAAAGCACTGCTTTGACTTAGAACTCTTCATGAGAATCAGAGGCAGCCTATGTACTGAGCCATAGTGAGATAAGGAAATTATAGTATGCCCAATATCCAACTTAAGAGTGAAATAGTTCTCAATGGGAATTAAGCAGAGAATGAAAAAATATTCGAATCAATTGAGGGTGCACATTTTTATCTTGCCAAATTTTTAGTTTTTCTCAAATGAAAGATGACATGGCCTCGAACCAAGAGGGTGCTAACTGCGCTGTACACATAACACTGATGCTGTGCTCTTCAAACTCTTCCCCTCTAAAATGACCCAAAGTCACTTACATGGGGCAGGGTACACAAATTTCTCTGGATTCTGGCTGAGCAGGGCATTCTTAATGTGGCTGCGACCCACCCCACTGGCTCCTGTGTGAAGAGAGAAGAAAGCTGTGATTTTTTTGTCCCCAAAAAGACTAAGGCAGAGATGGGACAGAGGATAAGAAATGGATTATCATCTTGGTGCTCAAAATTGTCAACACATACGTAGGCAGAGGCAGTAGTGGCTCACATGTGTGATCTTAGCTACTGAGAAAACTAAGATGAAGGTTGTGGTTCAAAGCCACAAGTGGAAAGTGAGATTCTTATCTCCATTTAACCAGCAAAAAGTCTGAAGTGGAGCTGTGGTTCTAGTGGTAGGAGTGCTTGCTAACTGGCCTTGAGCAAAAAAGCCCAGAGCACCCAAGCTCTTGAATTGGAGCCCCAGGACCAGCACAAATGCATGCATACATGCATGCATGCACACACGCACGCAATTGTCAACGAGTGAGAATGGGTTGGTGCTGTATCTCAGCAGAGCTCGGGATTTTTGAGCTGTTGGAAGATTTGGAGCCAGTAGAGGGTTAAGGGGCAGGACTCTAAACATAACTTAGTTCCACAGAGCAGACAGCTAAAGTGAAGCTTTCTGTTTATTTTGTAAGTACCTTAGCTTTTCTAAGCTCTCCAAAATTAAATGGAATTTAAATTCATGTTTTTACTGGAAGTTTCACCAGAATCTTAATATAGATCACATGGCAATTAATGTTTCAAATCTAAGAATGGGAAATTGAGCCAGTCAGCATCACCAAGGCTCTGTATCTGGGTTTGAAGCAAGAACTCATTTTGTTTTGGGACACTCACTGAGCTATCATAACAGCTCTAGAAAGCATGGAAACATGGGTTTGGGGTTGGTGGTGGTAGTGTTTGTTTTTGCTTTTTTTATTTTTGGGGGGAAGAAAAAGAGTGCAGAAAGGGAGGGGGTGAACAATGCAATCATGCTGTTCAGTAAACACTGTGGACAATGACCTACATTACTTCTGGACAGGGAAAGGAGGGGAAAACTTCGGGAAAGTGAAGGAAGGGGTGACATAGCCAAAAGAAATGTACTCATCTGATTTATAAGATAACAACCCTTCTGTACAACACCTTTATAGTAACAAAATATGTTAAAGCATATCACAGCTCTACTGGTAGTCAAGTGGATGAAGAAGTTGAAGATCAAACCCAACCTAAAAGAATTAGTTCCTAAATAGTAAAAGGAGGAAAAGAATTT